AAAAAAAAAAGAGTTGTCAAATCTCTAAGAAGATGAGGTCCGAAGTTGAACACAAATAGGACAAAAGAATCAAAGTGAGAGGCTCCACCTTGGCTGATACCAAGGTTCATAATGAAGCTATCGAATTTGGGATGAGATAGCCAAACACCCTGATTATTAACAAGAGTCAGGTAACAAAATCTAAATATACGTGGTTAGTGGTTCGTGACAAAATGGCACTGTAGTGTAAAGACAGCAGGCACGGCCTTTTCAGTGAAAGATGCCAAATCAACTGTAAATTTGTACACACTCAAAAAATGAATCTTAGTTCTTGTCTCAGTTACTCTTCTCTCATTGCCAGGACCCAACACCCAAATGAGGGAAGGAAAGAAAGGTTTATTTAGCTCAGTTACTGGAGGTTTCATTTCATACTCAGCTGCTCCAAGGTAGAGTGGCACATGGCAGAGAGCAACCTTTCATGGTGGCAGCAAAGAGTAAGAGGACTAAGGGAGGGGCCACAGCTCAGGCAGGCAGCTAGCCTCTCTGCCCTCCTTACACTGTGCTGCAAAGTACCCACCCCAGGACAGGTGTGGAGCCCACACTACACAATAATCACAAACTCCAGAGGCCCCCAATGACTGCATGAGGCTTTGGGGGGACAACTAGATGCAAAACATAGCAGTCTTGTATTTCTTACCATAATAAATCCAGATGGAATCATACACCCAAATGTGAAAGTAAAATTGTAAATCTCCTAAAGAAAAACATTGAGCAAATGTATTTGTGACTTTGGGATCAGCAGTGATTTTTTTAAAGGGACCCAGAAACCCAAATGAATAAACAAACTCCACCCATCAAAAGGGAAGCACTGGCCAGCAAGACCGCTCAGCGGTCTAAAGTGCCTGCTGAGGCAAGCTCAGGCAAGCACAGGGACTACAGTTCAATCCCTAGTACCACATGCCTTGCCAGCCCCACCCCCAGAGCAGGTTGAACTGGCCACACAAAATAAATAAATAAAATAATTTTTAAAAAAGGAAGAACTTGAGGGCCAGACAAATAGCTCAGAAGATTAAAGTACCTGCAAGCAGGTGCAGGAGCCAGAGGTTCAATCCCCTGGCCTGCCGTGCTGGCCCCACCCCAAGGGTGTGCTGAGATGACAATTGAGACTGGGCATGGTGGCACAAGCCTATAATCCCAGCTCTTGGGAGGCTGTAAACAGGCAGATCACTACAAGTCCGATCTAGTAGTGAGACCCTGAGCATCCTGTAGACGCTTCCCTAAAAAAAAAAAAAAAAAAAAAGAGAGAAGCACTTGACATGTGCTACCACATTAAAATGAGAAACTTATGTTTGTATGAACACATGAAAGTCTTACTGAGATAGGAAGACTATGCACAGGAGAAGATATTTGTGATACACAGATATCCCAAAAATATTTTATCAAAAATATATTAAAAATTATTATAATTAAATTTGATATAGATAGACCCGCCACAAGAAAAATATGTAAAAGGTTTTGACTAGCACTTCACAAGAGAACACCTAAAGGGCTACTGAGCATCTGTATAATAGTCCAATCTCAAAATTGATAGGGAAGCTCAAACTAAAACCACAATTTGATAGGGCTTCACACACAACTCAGAAAAGCAAAAGCATAAATCGCAACAAATGATGCAGAGAATAATCACATTCTGCAAGTACATAGGAGTACACTTTCCTAGAGCCATTCTGGAAACTCAAAACACACATTTGCCCACCATCGGCTATTGACCTCATCCCTATTTTTTTATTTATTTATTTACTTTCATTTACATATTTGGTACAGGGTCTCACTACACAGATTGGACTCGTAGTGATCCTCCTGTTTTCAGCCTCCCCAGCACTGGGACTACAGGGGTGGATGACCACACCCAGACTCTGTTACTGGCTCAGCATGCCCCAGGGGTGGGCCAGTGTGGCATGTGGGACCAGGGATTGAACCCTGGTCCTTGAGCTGGCCAAAGCAGGAACTTAGTCCGCTGAGCTGTCTCGCCAACCTTTGATCTCATCCTTAGACATATACTGCACAAAGTATATATGTTCCACATAATTACATGTAAGAAGATGCAGAACTACTATTCATAATATCCAAGTAACTGAATATTAAAAAAAGAAATTACCAATAATAATAAACTGGGATGCATTCATGAATGTCAGAATACTAAATAAGTGAAAACGAATGATTCTTGGCCATTTACGACATCAATAAAACTCAAAAATTGAACGTTAAAAAGTCAGGAAGTAAAGGATGCATAGTGTATGGTTCTATTTCTATAAAAGAAACAATAGGCAGACCCCATCTGTACTACTAAAAAGAGAATGGAAATCCTCACGAGGTGTAGCAGGAGTTAGTGATCAGAAGGGGGCAGCAAAGGGCCTGTGGGATGTCAGTGATGATCTTTTTAAATTTTTATTTTTACTTTTTAAAGAGAATACAGAATAGCAATTTTTTTTTTCCCGAACTGGGGATTGAACTCAGGCACTTGCACTTGCCAAGCAAGTGCTTATTCTACTGAGCTATCTCCCCGGCCCTATCAAATTACGGAGGTCTTACTGCACGGTCCTGGCAGTCACTTTTTTTTTTTTTTTTTCAGAACTGGGAGTTGAACTCACACCCTTGTGCTTGCCAGGCAAGCACTTATTCTACTGCGCCATCTCCTCAGCCCCTTATATATATCTTAAAAAACTAGAAATGATACAGAATTTCACTAAACAAAAGAATATGAATTTGACAATCTTTGTTGTATGGCATAGTGTTGTCTTCAAGTTAGTTGTTCAGACTACCAGATATATGCATGCAAAATTGGAAAAAAAAGAAAAAAGAAAAAAGTTGTAAGAAATTAAGAAGCGACAAAAAGAAAAAAAAAAGACAAAAAGGCAAACAAACACAAAATAATAAGCACCAACTGTTCTTTTCCACAGACCAGCAGAAACCCACAGGACAACTGTCCAAGCCATCCTGCTCACATACACAGATACGTCTCTTTCCCCCCTCCCCCTCTCCTGTCCTCATCTCAGTAATTCCTTCCTTTTGAACAGGTTCGTTCCCTTTTCACAGTGTCTATTGCACTTCAGATTTTAGTCTTTCAGGTCTTTCCACTAAGGAGACAATACAATGTTTGCATATAAGGGTGGTATTCTTGTTCTCACTTTGGTTTTTATTGGGTCCTTTCCTGTCAGCTGGGGGTGGGCAGGTTTTGGACATGGGAGATACGTAATAAAGGCATTGAGGTACAAATAAAGGTATGAATTCAGTTTACATTTTCTGGCTTTTATTTGTTTCCTAGGTAGACAAAAAAAAAAAAGGAAAGGAAAGCTAATTTCAAATATGGTAAGCAGTGGGTTTGGGTTATAGGTACAATTTTTAAGTGACACATTGGCCAGGACAACAACATGGCAAGTGATATTTGATAAATGACCATTTATTTAACCAGCACAATGAGTAAGTAGACCCTTGAGCCACAAAGTACATCATAAGTAATTACACATTTTCATAACAATAATCATATGGATTTTTTCCAAACCCAGACACTTCCTGAGTAATGGTGCTTTAGGACAAATGGAGTTGGACATGGGGATTCTGCATGTTAATTTAAAGACAAAAGTGACTATTTTATTTCTTTTTCAGAAAATCTCTCCCGGGTCTTCATGTACTTCCCTTTTTCCAATGTTTCAATCTCTAGAGATAGCTTGTATATCTCCAGGGCCATTTTCACATCAGCTGGGCTGGGAAGGCATTCCATGAGCTTTTGGCCTGCAGTCACTTGTTTGCAGTCTGCAGGGACCTCCTAAAAGTGATTCAAAGCAGAGAGCAAAGGGTTTGGTGCATCTGCAGAGGAATCATCCCAAAAGCAAGACAGCAGCTGTGTGGACAGACAGAGGAAGAGGAGGCGGGGGAGACCCTGCCTCGCAGAGGAGACCCTGCCTCCCGGCGGGCGTTCTCCCAAAGGCCGGCCCATTCTGCTCCTGAGAGCAGAAGCCAGAGCTGCACAGGCCCAGACCCTGCATGAGGACAGCTGAAGGACAGCCCTGGGGACTGACAGAGTGGGGCAAAGTAACAAAATGTAGACCTGGGGAATCAGGGAATGTGGGTCTCGGGGACCCTAAGTCTAGAGTTTGTTTGGGGTCTTGCAGTACAATAAAAGCAATCGCCTCTTCTAACTCACTGCTGTGCTTCCCAGTTGGAAGTAATGATTTTGATGAATTACTTAGGTCTTGTGACAAAAGTCAGAAGTCACTATTCTGAGCTGGGACAGAGCTTTGGAGAAGACCACTGTTTTTAGGGGTTGACAATACAGAATTGCCCTCATGTGTGCCACTTACCCACTCACACTTGGGCACCTCTGGGTGCCAGGTTTTATTCTCTGAGCAAATGATACTTTGGGGACCAACCCGCTCATAGCCAGAGTCACACTTGATGGTGACATTTTCCATCTCAGTATAGCGATCCTTCTCCACAGACAGCTTTCCATTTGGTATCTCTGGCCTCAGACACACAGCTATGATGGAAACATATTTGAAATTTTCAATTTTTTTTTTGTAAAAAACAAAACATGCAGCAAAACAGCATTGGATAATGACAATGATGGGAAATTTTGTTCATACTTAAACTTAGATCATGCAAGTTGTCATCTTTGTCATATTAATGATAATTCTAATGGCCATAATTAACATATGCTGAGTGACTACTATATGTGTGCCTGCATGTTACGCTTTTCATCTGGCTCATCTCAATCCTTGTTAAAATGTAACCAAAAAGGTTAGCATTCCCCCAGTTTCATATCATGTTTAAAGGATGGACCTGTGTTCCCAACTGCTGCTCCCAGATCCTTATTTATGTGTGACCCTACGTCTGTACTTTTCCTTGCCTCGGCTCAATGGCCGCAGTGGTGTTTATTAGCTAAGTGGTGAAGGTATCACATGTAGTGGAGAACCAGAACCTTTCCTGACCTTGTTTCTCTTTTAGGATACCAACCAGAAGCATCAGCATGTCATCAGGAGTGAAATGGAAGGTCACAGAAAAATGGTGAGTGCCATGTGACTTTAGTGGAGACTTTTAACACATACTTGGGAATAGATATTTGAGGTTCTTATTTCTGGAATAGTTCAGGTGAACTTAAGACTCTCATGAAAACTTTACCAGAGGCACAAAAACATTCTCAGCTAAAAGAGATTTTTCTCTACACTTTCTTGGAAAATACACAACAATATAGTAGTGATCACTGTCCCAAGATATGGGACTAATGGATGCTTCTAGGACTTTGGAGTAGAAATTAAATTTCATTTTTAATGAATTCATCAATGGATTTTTAAAGTTTACCATTCATGGTTTAAATATCCCAAATAAATAAATAAAAAGGCAAAATTCAGGTAATCTTTATCTATAGGAAACATTGCTCTCAACATTTTTTTTTAACCTCATCTTCACTGAACCATGATGGTGCCGAAGTTTCCCTTTCTTTATCTTACACTGAGAAGGCTAAGGTAGCCAGCAAAAAGACTTGCAGGAGATAGAGGAAATTCAACTGAAATGCCCTTCAACACATTTGAATGTATCCTCAGGATATGGAGGTGTCTTAGTCCAGTTTCTGTTGCTATATGGAATAAAACAGACTGGGTCATACATAAAGAAAGTAGCTTATTTAACCCATCTATCTTGAGGCTCTAAAGTCCATAAGAATGGAGCCTGACTGGTACATGGCTTCCTGCTGCAGCATAATACGGTAGAAGGTGAATGGACGAGAGAGGAATGGCAAGCAAGCAGGGCTCACTGAGCCCACTTGTAACCACTGGCTCTCATGATGAATAAGGCACCCCCTGAGGGGGAATCGATCCACTTGTGAGTTCTCTGCCATCATATCTCAATCACCTTTTCAATACTGTGTCATAGCCTTTATACTGGGGACTTGCCACCCAAGAGCTTTGGGACAGCTATACATTTAAATCCATAGCATTCTGCCCCGGCCTTCAAAATCCATTTTTCTCACAATACAAGTCACATTTATTGCATCCTAATAGCCCTAAAGTATTAACTTGTTCCAACTTAAAAATCCAAAGAATGTGGCATCCTGTAGCAAATTCCATCTGTGAGTCCATAAAGTAAAAATAAGTTAATTATTTCAATTACAACGATAAGATCGACCTAGTTACTCTCATTTCAAAGGGAACGTGAGTATAAGAAAAGGCAAAACATATTCCAGGTAAGTCTATAAGTGCCAGATCCAGTTCCATAACTACCAACTGAGGTAGAGCCTTTCCTGACTGAGGAATCTCTGTGACATCCACACCTGAGTGACAGTTCCTTGCTGTGGACTCAAGGTGCTTTGCCACACACTTTGCAATCTAAAGGATATGATGTGCACAAAGCCCTTGCACACTCCACATGGGCAGTATGAGCAACACATGGAGAACCTCAAGGTTCATGACCTGCCCCTTGCAGAGCAGTGGCCTGAGGGTAATCTGGAACCATGTGAGCATGGGTAGGTAGCTAAGGAGCGCTGCACTGGAATATGGACAGCAGAGATCCACGGTGTCTCAGGACAGGACAGCAGTGGTGGGGACCAGAAGACCACTCCCCAAAACACTCTGCCCTGCTAAAGCTGTGAGCCTGTGATGGGAGGTGAAGTCTTGGATGTTTCCCCAGAATGCCTCTGAGGTCCATTGTCTCGATATCCCGTCTATCCAAACGGATGTCCTTAGCAAATGGTCCATTCGGCCACACCTTTGGTTCTCTCTCCTGAAAATGATCTGTCATTCTCTACACATCACCATGCTAAAATGTTTCCAAATCTTTCTGGTCCACTTCCTTTTTAATTATAGAATGTCTTTAAATCATCCCCTTGTGCCTGCTCTCTGTAGTTAAAACATTTAGGAGCCTGAATACTTATCCATTTAGTTACTCTTCTGCCAGATATGGTAGCTCATCACACTTAAATTCCACCTTCCATAAAGCCCTCACTCACAGGAAAATTTCTGCCAAGCTCTTGGCAACTTTATAATAAAGTACAGCTTTTATCCAAGTTTCCACCCCAATACTTTGTTCTTTATTTCCATCTGGACCTGGTCAGAATGACTCTTGCTGTTCACATTTCTCACATTTTCATCATCACCACTTAGGTAACTTCTACAGAATTCTAGATTCTCATCAATCTTAGCATTTCTCCCGGGACCCCACCAGAAGCACCCTCTGCGGTCAGTTCCAAGTATACCTCCATATTTTCAGGTATTTGCCATAGCAACAACCCCATTTCCCAGTAGCAATTTTCTGTCTTTCTTTCTGTTGCTATAACTGAATACCACATGCTGGGAAAATTGGTTTTAAATAAAAGTTACTTAGATATGGTTCTGGGAGTTGAGAAGTCCAGAAGCATGACACCAGGATGTGACACGTACCTTTGTGCCTCATTATAACATGACAGTAGGCAAAAGAATGACAATAAGCCAGCAAGAGGAAACAGAACACACTGAATTAGTTTTATAGCTCACTTGCCTGATAACTCATCCACTGCTGTGATGATGGCATTAATCCCTTCATGACTCCTCCATCTGTCAGACCCACTCACCTGCTCTACAGTTCCACCCTTCGCTACTTCATACTGTTGCACTGAGGATTAAGTCTCCAACCCATGAGTCTCTTGGGGACACATTTAAACTATAGCAAGAAATATGAAAACAATTTCTTGTGGTGTCCATGGGTAACTCTGGGAGGTAAACTACCAACTTGAATGGTGAAACAGAAAAAAGGCACATGAGTTCATACTTTCAAATTAACAAAACACCCCCAAAACTGGTTATTTTTAGAAGACACAAATTATTTCCCCATTGGAAACTTGACAGAACTCAAAAACAGTTACTGTTGTCATGTGAAAGACCTGAAGAAATGCTTAGCGTGATGGAAAGCAACTTGAGCTAAAGGAATTCTCCCATCTTACAAAATTTTTTTCTTTGTATTTAAAAAATGTGATGACTGAAATTTTTCATCAATTGGGGAAATTAGAAGTTTTGGTATAAAAGAGTAAATTCAGAATACACAGTTACATTATATTAAAAGTATTCCCAATAAACATCAAGCTAAGTACAGGAAATATTCACCTGTCTCCCTAATTTTCCACAAACGCAGCACTGTAAAGGCATAATTACTGCACATTAGAGCTTAAACAATGACTTCAGTGTTGAAACAACCATGAAATGATGGAGCAGTTACACTGGAAGAGCATGATCTCAAGTTTCTCAAGCTCATATATGGAACTTGCAAGGAATTAAGAGACTGAGAATGTCAGAGGAGGTTCTTTGTTTAAGGAGTATTGCCTCTAAAGGCTGAGACTATGTGAAAGAATATCGAATGCTATATTTATAAAGATAAAAGAACAAACACATTTAACAATCTTTGGACATTTGCGCAAAAACACCCTTGTTGAACTTTTTCTTAGCTCTATCTTACCAAACTAGCCAGCTCCTCTTTCTCAAGATACATACTGTACATTTATACATCTCTATATTTTATCTCTGGGATTGTACTGCTAATATCATATGCTTTTACCTTCTATGAAGTCTCATTTTCTCTGTGAAGCCTTTTTGACTACTCTACTACTCATTGGCCCAGTGAGTGTGTGTGAGAGCTTCCAGCTACCCTGTGCCTGTGGGACCTACTGGTCCCAGCTCAGGCGCAGCATGGGTGAGACCCTCTTCCACCCCCTTGGGACGCCCCCACCACCACTCTGCAGCACCTCCCCCACCCTGCCCACTGAGTAGGAATTTCTACTGCATTCCAGGAACCCCCAGACCCAGTCCTAGACCGGGCCCGGTGAGTGTGTGGGACAGCTGCCTCTCCCCACTACTCCACCTTCTCCCCTCTAGGCTCAGCTTAGGCCTGGCATACAGGCCTGGGGTAAAACCCTGTAGCTGCAATCCCTGCAGAGAGTGTAGAGGACAGAACCACCCAGCTAGTGCAGGAGCAGAACATCTTGCCAGAGGGGCCCAACAGGTACACCCCCAAGGGTAGCAGCAGGAAGGAGCTGAGCACACATCCAGACCCAAGCCAGGTATAGCTGAATAAATCTAATACTCATTGGCTATTTCTCCCTTTTATAACTCTTGGTAGCAGCAGTTTACCTGGAATTATTTATTGAGTTGTTGTCATCTATTTATTTTTCTTGCAGAGTCCTGCTCAAACCTCACAACAACAAGAAAGTAGGTAGTATCATCATGTGTACTTTGTGGATAATGGAAGAAGGCAGACGTGAAGTACATTGAATCATGTGACACCTCTATTAAAAGTCAAGGTTGGGATTCACTTCTGACCAGGTCAGTGTGTACTTTTAGAACTCCATTCTGTTCTCTAGCAGTTGGTTAGCTCCCCTATACTGTGGAAAACAGCCTTTTCTCTACACTTTGACCTCAAGGATCATGACTTCTTACATTTTTATGTCCCTAATGACCAGTTTCTTGTTTTAAACATTGACAGAAAAGACGACATCTTTCTCTGCAAGACTAGAGCTCA